GTTTTAGTTGGTTTTGGTTGGTTTTGGTTGGTTTATTTGGTTCGCCTGTCGGTCTCTGGGTTTATTGATTCTTTGTTCTGTTTTGGCGTCTGGGCCGTTTCCTGTTTCCTGTTTCCTGTTTTGCTCGACACTTTTGAATCGTCTGTAAACAACATCGATCGTGTCTCCTGAAAAATCCTCCAAATGTGTTCGACTCTCCTCCTCAAACCACAGAACCACAGAACCTCAGAACCACAGAACACAAGAACCACAGAACCACAAGAACCACAGAACCATAAGAACCACAGAACCACAGAACCTCAGAACCTCAAGAACCTCAAAACCACAAGAACCACATGAACCACAAGAACCACAAGAACCACAGAACCACAGAACCACAGAACAACAAGAACCACAAGAACCACAGAACAACAGAACCAAGAACCACAGAACCACAGAACCACAGAACCACAAGAACCACAAGAACCACAGAACCACAAGAACACAGAACCACAAGAACCACAAGAACCACAGAACCACAAGAACCACACAAGAACCACAAGAACCACAAGAACCACAGAACCACAGAACCACAGAACAGAACCACAGAACCACAAGAACCACAAGAACCACAAGAACCACAGAACCAAAGAACCACAGAACCACAGAACCACAGAACCACAAGAACCACAAGAACCACAGAACCACAGAACCACAGAACCACAGAACCTCAGAACCTCAGAACCTCAAGAACCACAAGAACCACAGAACAGAACCACAGAACCACAAGAACCACAAGAACCACAAGAACCACAGAACCTCAAGAACCTCAGAACAAGAACCACAAGAACCACAAGAACCACAGAACCAAAGAACCACAGAACCACAGAACCACAGAAGAACCACAAGAACCACAAGAACCACAAGAACCACAAGAACCACAAGAACCACAAGAACCACACAAGAACCACAAGAACCACACAAACCACAGAACCACAAGAACCACAGAACCACAAGAACCACAGAACCACAGAACCACAAGAACCACAGAACCACAGAACCACCAGAACCACAGAACCACAAGAACCACAAGAACCACAAGAACCACAGAACCACAGAAACCTCAGAACCACAAGAACCACAAGAACCAGAACACAGAACCACACAGAACCACAAACCTCATGAACCACAGAACCACAGAACCACAGAACCACAGAACCTCAGAACCACAAGAACCACAGAACCACAAGAACCACAAGAACCACAGAACCTCAAGAACCTCAGAACCTCAGAACCTCAAGAACCACAAAGAACACAAGAACCAACAGAACCACAAGAACCTCAAGAACCACAGAACCACAAAAACCTCAGAACCACAAGAACCACAGAACCAAGACCTCAGAACCACAAGAACCACAGAACCTCAGAACCTCATGAAACTAAACTAGACCTAAACCAGGTCTAAACCAGGACTAAACCAGGTCTAAACCAAGTCTAAACCAGGTCTACCAGGACTAAACCGGTCTCAGTCCTGGTCTCAATACCAGACTAGTCCCGGTCCGAGTCTCGGGTCTCAGTCCTGATCACCCGAACCTTTGGGCTCATCCCGACACTCAGTCCTGGTTTAGTCCTGGTTTAGTCCTGGTTTAGTCCTGGTTTAGTCCTGGTTCAGTTCTGGTTCAGTCCTGGTTTAGTCCGTTATTTATTTTTTCATTTTGGTTTTGGAGAAAAATAATGTTCTTATGTTTGGTTTTATTTTGAAAAACAAATGAATGACACACTGACTCACCTGACTCACCTGTCTCACCTGTCTCACCTGACTCACCTGACTCACCTGTCTCACTGTCACCTGTCTGACCTCACCTGACTCACCTGTCTCACCTGACTCACCTGACTCACCTGACTCACCTGACTCACCTGTCTCACCTGTCTCACCTGACTCACCTGACTCACCTGACTCACCTGACTCTGACTCACCTGTCTCACCTGACCTGACTCACCTGTCTCACCTGTCTCACCTGTCTCACCTGACTCACCTGTCTCACCTGACTCACCTGACTCACCTGTCTCACCTGTCTCACCTGTCTCACCTGTCTCACCTGACCTGTCTCTCACCTGACCTGTCTCACCTGTCTCACCTGACTCACCTGTCTCACCTGTCTCACCTGTCTCACCTGACTCACCTGTCTCACCTCACCTGACTCACCTGACTCACCTGACTCACCTGTCTCACCTGACTCACCTGACTCTCACCTGTCTCACCTGACTCACCTGTCTCACCTGTCTCACCTCTCACCTGACTCACCTGACTCACCTGACTCACCTGACTCACCTGTCTCACCTGTCTCACCTGACTCACCTGACTCACCTGTCTCACCTGTCTCACTGACACCTGACTCACCTGACTCACCTGACTCTCACCTGTCTCACCTGACTCACCTCTCACCTGACTCACCTGTCTCACCTGACTCGTCTCACCTGTCTCACTCTCACCTGTCTCACCTGACTCACCTGTCTCTCACCTGACTCACCTGTCACCTGTCTCACTCTGTCACCTGACTCACCTGACTCACCTGACTCACCTGACTCTCACCTGTCCTCACTCACCTGACTCACCTGTCTCACCTGACTCACCTGTCTCACCTGTCTCACTCTCACCTGTCACCTGACACCTGTCTGTCTCACCTGTCTCACCTGTCTCACCTGTCTCACTGTCACCTGTCACTGTCTCACCTGTCTCACTGACTGACTCACCACCTGTCTCACCTGACCTCTCACCTGTCTCACCTGACTCACCTCACCTGACTCACCTGTCACCTGTCTCACCTGTCTCACCTGTCTCACCTGTCACCTGTCTCACCTGACTCACCTGACTCACCTGACTCACCTGACTCACCTGTCTCACCTGACTCACCTGACTCACCTGACTCACCTGACTCACCTGTCTCACCTGTTCTCACCTGATCACCTGTCTCACCTGACTCACCTGACTCACCTGTCTCACCTGTCTCACCTGATCGTGTCACGTGACCTGACGTGACCTTGCGGCGTTGTTCCTCTCGCCTCCAGCTGATGGCGGTGTTCGAGGAGCAGGAGCCTCATCACGGCGGAGACGGGACCAGCGCCAGCTCCACCGGGACCCAGAGCCCGGACCTGTTCCAGAACCAGAGCCCGGACCTGTTCCAGAACCAGAACCAGGACCTGTTCCAGAACCAGAGCCCGGACCTGTTCCAGAACCAGGACCTGTTCCAGAACCAGGACCTGTTCCAGAACCAGAACCAGGACCTGTTTGGGACCGAGATCGGATCCACGTCGGCCTTCAAACCTTTTCAGAGCAGCAGCGAGATCGAAGTCACGCCCTCCGCTCTCAGGACGAGTAAGTACTACTACTACTACTAGTACAAATACTACAAATACTACAAATACTACTATGACTACAAATACTGCTACTACTTACGGACGTGTTGCTCTTCACTCTTGTCCTTTTTTATTCTCTCCAAACTCTGGAGTTGTTGGGACACGACTGTAGCCACAGACGCCCTGGGACAGACTGACTCTAAAACTTCTGAAACGTTTGAAACATCTGAAACGTTTAAACTCCATGAAACCTCTGAAATGTCTGAAACTCCTAAAACCTCTAAAATATCTAAAACTTCTGAAGTCTATGAAACCTCTAAAATCTGAAACTTTTCAAAACTTTGAAACCTCTTAAATTTCTGAAACCTCTAAAACCCCTGAAAATTCTGAAACTTTTAAAACCCCTGAAACCTCTAAACCCTAAAAGTTCTGAAACCTTTAAAACCTCAAACAACTAAAACTTAAAACTTCTGAAACCCGTGAAACCTCTAAAATCTTTAAAACCTCTGAAAACTTTAGAACTTCTGAAACCTTTAAAACCTCTAAAACTTCTGAAATTTATGAAACCCCTAAAACCTAAAATTTCTGAAACCTCAAACCTTTAAAACCCCTGAAATCTTTAAAACCTCTAAAATTTCTGAAATCTATGAAACCTCAGAAACGCCTAAAACCTAAAACTTCTGAAACCCGTGAAACCTCTAAAACGTTTGAAACCTCTGAAAACTTTAGAACTTCTGAAACCTTTTGAAATTTCTGAAACCTTTAAAACCTAAAACTTCTAAAATGCTTGAAACCCCCAAAACCTCTAAAACTTCTGAAACCTTTAAAACCTCGAAAACATCTGAAATTTATGAAACCCCTAAAACCCAAAGTTTCTGAAACCTCAAACTTTTAAAACCTCTGAAACTTCTGAAATCTATAAAATCTCAGAAAGGCTAAAACCTAAAACTTCTAAAACCTGTGAAACCTCTTTTGAAAACATTTGAAACCTCTGAAAACTTTAGAACTTCTGAAACCTTTTGAAATTTCTGAAACCTTGAAAACCTCTGAAACTTTTAAAACCCCTGAAACCTCTAAACCCTAAAACTTCTGAAACCTTTAAAACCTCAAAAACTTCTGAAATGTATGAAACCCCTAAAACCCAAAATTTCTGAAACCTCTAAAGTTTCTGAAACCTCAAACTTTTAAAACCTCTGAAACTTCTGAAACTTTTAAAACCCCTGAAACCTCTAAACCCTAAAAGTTCTGAAACCTTTAAAACCTCTAAAACTTCTGAAATTTATGAAACCCCTAAAACCTAAAATTTCTGAAACCTCAAACTTTTAAAACCTCTGAAACTTTTGAAACCTCTGAAAACTTTAGAACTTCTGAAACTTTTAAAGTTTCTGAAACCTCTAAAACCTCTGAAACACCTCAAACCTCAAACTTCTAAAAATAAACGTTTCTGAAACGTCTGAAACGTTTCTGTTCTCGTGGTTGTTTAAGTCTGTGTGAACTGTTTTAATAGAGACAAATTGTGTTGTTTTTACTGAATTTGTTTAGATTCAAAAGTTTGTGTCACGTAAAACTGTGGTTGTGTGAACTGGAGCAAAAGTTCACACAAAACACACACACGCCCCCATACACACACATACACACACACAACACACACAACACACACACACACACACACACATACACACACACATACACACACACATACACACACACAACACACTTCTTCTTCCTCAGACTTGTTTCTTCTCGTTCCTCAGACTCTGGTTTCTTCTCGTTCCTCAGACTCTCGTTCTTCTCGTTCCTCAGACTCTGGTTTCTTCTCGTTCCTCAGACTCTCGTTTCTTCTCGTTCCTCAGACTCTGGTTTCTTCTCGTTCCTCAGACTCTCGTTTCTTCTCGTTCCTCAGACGTTCCTCTCGTTTCTTCTCGTTCCTCAGACTCTGGTTTCTTCTCGTTCCTCAGACTCTGGTTTCTTCTCGTTCCTCAGACTCTCGTTTCTTCTCGTTCCTCAGACGTTCCTCTCGTTTCTTCTCGTTCCTCAGACATGCCTCTCCACGTGCGCCGCAGCAGTGACCCCGCCCTCCTGTGCCTGAACGGACCAATCACGGTGATCGAGTCGCGGAGTCAGAGCGAAGACCCGCCCTCCCGGAAGAACCCCACCAGATGGTCGACCACGGCCGGGTTCCTCAAGACCAGGAACCCGGGAACCAGCAGCCTGGAGAGAAAGGTACCGCCCACCCACCACCTGCGGGTTAAAGCTGCACTGGGAGGGGCTTCTTCACCTGTTTGTTTCTATGGAGACGTCTCTGCTCCGTCTGGAATGTTCCACAGTGTGACTTTAACCAGCTCCACTTCACATTTATCCAAATAACAGGAGGAAAAACAGATCTGACCTGGAACTTTGGTCTCCATGACGACAGAAAAGTTTAATACCAAACTGTGGAACATTCTAGACGAAGGAATAAAACCAGGACTAAAACCAGGACTAAACCAGGACTAAAACCAGGTCTAAACCAGGACTCAACCAGGACTCAACCAGGTCTAAACCAGGACTAAACCAGGACCTAGGAAACTAAAACCAGGTCTAAACCAGGTCTAAACCAAAACAGTCTAAACCACTAAACCGGGACTAAACCAGGACTAAAAACCAGGACTAAACCAGGACTAAACCAGGTCTAAACCAGGACTAAACCAGGACTGACCCGGGTCTAAACCTCAAAAAAATCCCTTGAAAAACCGACATTGTGTCTGTGAGCAGAGTCGCCTCTCCGCAGATCTGACCTGGAACTTGGTCTGGTTTTGGTCTCCACGAAGAGCTACACCTCTAAATCTCTAAACGCTCTGCTCCACCTCGTGATGTCATCGAGTGGGCAGTTTCCCTCAGTTCTCTTCAGTTCAGTGGAGGTCGGTGAAGAAACTCCGGCTCTGAAATGTTCCGGGTGATTCTAGTGAAGGTGAAGTGTGGAGTTTAAAAACACAGTGGAGCACTTCCTGTATCACCACACGATGACATCACCAGGTGGAGCAGAGCGTTTTCAGCCTAAATGTGCAGGTTTGTGTGTGAAACATGTGAATGAAACAAAAAAAACAAAAACACAACTCCAGGTCTGAG